TGGCCGTACCCAAGACACCTCTTTGCCTCGATACCACCTGTGAGCAACCTTCTGCTGGCTGGTCCCTTATCTGCGACTCCTCAGAGCCACTTCTGCAGCCCTAAGTAGGAGTACCTGGATGCGTTCCCACGTACTGATGCCAACGGGCAGGGAGCAACCTGACTCCATGCTAGTAAGTGCCCCTGTGCTCAGCACAGGGTGGCCGTGGACCCACTGCCAGCAGGGATCAGTCTCCAGACTCTCCTGACTGTCAAATCACGCCTACGATGTCTGAGGAGAGCAGTAGCTGGAATGGGGCTTTTTTTTTTTTTCCCAGAAATAGTCTAACAGTGCCCTGGGGGAGAGGAGACAAGCATGCTAGCAGGCATGCTTGCATTTCTGAGCGTGGGGGCAGCCTTGGCCCTTCTCTCCATAGGGAGGAGGTGGGCAAGGGGAGCCCATGGCAGGTCCTGCACCGTGCCCCTGAGGTCTGTGCCACCACATGGAAGAGCCCTCCTTTCCCAAGGGAAACACAGCCATGCTGGAGGTGTTTCTCTCTTTTCTCCTACCCACCGACCAGCCAGCAAAGATGTGCTGGGATGCAAATGCCTCTGTGGTCCGTGCAGCTCTGGGGATACAGGGAAAGGAGCAATGAATGCCAGGCAGTCACAGAGCCACTGCAGCTTCTTCTACAGGGCAGGTAACTCCTGCAGCAGCCCTGCACGCAGAGGGTACTAAAGGGATTTTTAAACAAATTCCTTCTTCCTCCATGTATCCTAGCAACACCTCTCCAAGGTTAGAGATGCGATGGCTTGCCCACCTGTTGCACAGGAAGCCTGAGGCAAGTCACATATTGCTTTCTTCCCAGCTCACTCCACTAGCACGAAGCCCCAGCGATAAAGGAATATGCCACGATCAGCACACCTCAGTCTCATCTGCTTTACTTTATACTTATAGTAAATGTGCAGACCTTGTAAAAAAAACAACAACAACAAAACAAACAAAAAACAAACCCACAAGCCAAGAAACTGGTTGAAAGGTTGAAAATAAACTTTTGTCATATGAGATGTCATTCTTTTCTCCCCCCTCTAAAGCACCCTTTAACATTTTCCATTTCTTGTGTGGGAAAAAAGATCCTGGAAATGTTATAGAAACGATCATAGAACTTTAAAATTTTGTTTTACAGACAATTAAAAAAAATTTAATCACAACTTTTAAACAAACTCAAACTATTACAAAAATCTGTAGAAGGTGAAATTTACAATGAATCGCTTTCAACACTCCGTGAAGATGGTCCTTTCCCTATGAGTCTCCTGTCCATCAAATCAGATTTTCTTTCTTTGACTATCCCTGACCAAATCCCTTCAGCTACATTTGTCACTT